GAAAAAAAAAAAAAAAAAAAAAAACACGACCTCCGCCTCCCGTTTTTGCCAATTACTGAACCAGTAGGCCGTCGTGGTCCCGCCTTACTGTTTTTCTTGCAGTTTCGAACTGGTCTTCGCCCAAGCTTGCAGTGGACTGTTATTCCTGCGAATTCCAAACTGTGCAGCAGTCACCCACGCAGTTATTTCAAAAAAAAAAAATCAGAATGCAACCTGGAACAGTGAGCACTTGAGAGAGCCTTCCAGGCGCCAAGTCCCACTTCCCAAATGATCGAATTCTGACCACAGATTTGGACGATCAACGACCATAGATCAAGGATCAGCGTAAGTGGGACTAGGCCCCAGGTTGCATTCTTGAAAAATCAGTTTAAAATTTAAATCACCCCACCACATATGAATGCTACCTGGAAGAGTACTAAGCACATACAAACGCAAACCACCACGTGTATCGTATACAACAAAATAACTGCTGGAGGGTAATTTCAACTTTCAGGGCTGCATGTATTTCTTTTATGCATGCCAGTGATAAGTCACGGGACTGGTGCCCTCGCGGAATATACAGGGGGATTATCTCTGTCAAAAAAAAAGAAGAAGAAGAAGAAGAAGAAGAAGTTAGGACAAGCCAAATTGTGAAAATCCTTCAGGACGACATGGGTCTTTAAAAAAAAAAAAAAAAAAAAAAAAAATCCTTCAGGACCGTCCTCGAGTTTCAAGATTTTTCAAGCTGTGTCGAACTAAAACCCCTTTCATCCAACTTCCTTTGCCAATGTGTGAATTACTGAGCAGCTGAATTCTCTTTCGTCCTGACTGTGACAGATTTCCAACTCCAAGGAAGAACTTGAAGAATGGATGGAAAAGGCTGGGCATTCCTCTGATGAAGTTCGATCTCTTCTTCAACTGTCTCCAGCTCGTGTAGGGAAGGTGAGGCGCGCGCGCACTCACACACACACACACACACACACACACACACACACACACACAAGCAGTTTTGTGTATGTCTGACTTTTGTTTTTGCGCTTGTTCTTTCACTGATTTTGTTTCTTGCTGTGTGTCTGTGTTATGATTCTGGTTGTTTGTTGTCTGATGACCAACACTCACTCACATAGACTTCCAGGTATGCCCATACATACACAGAAGGAAGGGGAGAGGATAGGAGTATCACACCGCACAGGGAGAGATAAACACAGCGGAAGACTTGACCATGCGATATGACAGGGTACACTGAAAGTGCAATTCACTCCACTCAATCCTCACAACCAGTCATAAAGAAAAGCCGAGCAGATCACATCCAGGAAACAATGACACGATGATAGTCCAAACCCAGTTACACACTGTTTATTAAACTCAGAGTCTCGAATTGTCAGGATATCTTCAGAACTACAGTTTCTGAGCAGCGCTTCACTCCCCAACCCTGATTAGCACCCGTAACACCCCTGAGTCCCTGAAACATCAAGCGCCACCCAAACACAGCCTCCTGAGGGAAGCGCCACCCTGAAACAGGCCTCTGAGGCCAAGCGCCACTCAGAGGATGAAGAAGAAGACCAGCGCCACAGTCTCTGATGATGACGAAGTGTCGGAAGACTTCCCAGGTGGAAGTCTGCAGCAGCGCCACCAAACCCTGACAAGATGACCTCTGAGGAAGAAGCTGCAGCTATGGCTACAGCGCCACCACCCTGGAACCCCACTCCGGATGAGGGTCCAACAGGGCACCAATCTCTCTCGCCTCCAGCAGACCTCAATAGCCCAGACCTCTGTCAGCCCCTGCGTACAGCACAGGTCCCAGTTTTGGCCGGTGCTCCGAAGGTCTGGCTATGCCTGTCTCCTTCCACGCTGAGCCGTCACCACTTCCGGTTCACGCGTAGCGCAGCAGCGATGTACTCGGTACCAACTGCCAAAAGTCCTGAACCGATGTGCCCATTCTATCTATAGACTACACTTGCCTAGACTCGACCTAGACCGGACTGACTGACCGGCCGGTACCGTTTCTGTTTCGGCCTCTCGGCCTCTACCGGACCCGGCTATAGATAATGGGGGGTAGCCCGGGCCTGCTATTCGCAGTTAGGGTAGCTGTAGGGAATTCTGTTAGTACCGGGCCTGCATTTTCCCCGGATTTGCAGACATGTCCCTCACGAATTTCCCTCACAGGTAGGTCTCTCGGTTAGCCCTCAGCCAAACAAAATTGTGAATCTGTCCTACCTATAGTACAGCCTCGACAGAGAGAGGCTACGGGCAACCAGAAAAGAGCAAGTCATTGCATCTGAGTGAGCACCGTTAAACCGCTAGTACACGGCCGCATCCTTGCAGTCCAAAACTTGTCGGCACAAGAACACAAGGCCGAAACGTCAAATGATGGGCCTGCCGTTGATAAATTGGATCGGCGGTCACTTTTTCGTTTCACGCCTCCGGAATTCAAGGTGTCAGGCCCACGGCCCAGGTAGCCGTGTACTGGTGCTTTAAGAAGTGCAAAACAGTACTAGGCAGTCCGTTGTTTGGAGTGGCCCCTGGACTCTTAGGGGAGCCGCTCTGTTCATGATGTCTGTATGGTGCATATGGTCTATGGGTGTTGACAGATCTCCGTCGCAGTGACTCCCTTGCTCAGTAGGTGGTGGGAACCAACAGTCTGCGGGGTTCACCCGTGATGTGAGTAGGTGATTTGCCGCTTTGCTCCATGTTGGATGTGCAGACTGCCTTGTCTGCGCTCTGCTGCTGCCTCGCTGCCCGTCCCGCTTGCTTCGCGTGTTGTTCTTGGCAAGCTGCTGTGTTCACTGCATGGTGTGGCTGTGGTGTTGGTGTTGCTTTGTGCTTCGCTGCTCTTCCTTTGCTGCCCATCTCCGTGCCCTGCCTTCTGCGCCCTTTGGTTGCGTGCCGTTTGGGTTGACGGCCTTGCTGGTGTTGCCTTGTGCTTCACTGCACAATTGCTGTGCTGCTCGTCTTCTTGCGCTGTTGTTCATGCAGTTCGTAATGGTGTTGTCCAGCCGGGTTGCCTTCTGCTGTGTTCTGCTGAGTTGTTGCATGGTGCTTCGCTGAGTTGTTGCCTTCTGCTGTGTTCCGCTTGTGGACAGTCTGCTTTCAAGGCAACAACTCAGCGAAGCACCAGGTGTTGCCTCGTGCTGCACAGCAGAAGGCAACAACAACAACTCAGCGAAGCAAAACAGGCAATGCAGCAAGAAGCACCAGGCATGAACCCATTGCCTGGTGATTCGTTGAGTTGTTGCCTTCTGCTGTGTTCCTCTTGTCCACAGTCTGCTTTCAAGTTTCAATATGGGTCAAAGGGTTCATGACCCAAACCATCAATACGGAGATTCCCCAGATTGTTGAGTGTTCAGCCTCCTTACGAGTCTGCTGCAACTCCGATGAAACAATCTTTCATCATCAGTTTTTATGTTGTTGTTTTTTTTTGGTACTTGTACTTTTCTTGCCTGCTGCTTGTTGTTTTTACCTTGCCTTGTGTGCTTGTGCTTTGTTTGTCCTCCCGCCTCCCCCATGCCCTCCAGCCTTTTTTTTTCTTTTTTTTTTTTTCCCGTTTGTGATACGAGCATCCCCTGCTAGTCGGATCTTCCGGCTGCTCGATCTATTGGTGGGGAGCTACACCTG